TGCGTCGTGTGTACTCACCGCCGCATGACGCAACACATGCGCACCTCTGACAACGTCCCCAAGCACCACTCACAATATCTAAGATCACAGTTAGGCTACAGGTGCAAACTGGTTATCTTGATTGATTGATTGATGAAGATTAAGCCACCCAAGAGGTGGCACGGGCATGAATAGCCCGTAAGTGGTGGCCCTTTTGAGCCATTACCAGTATCAAAAGATGATACTGGAGATCTGTGGAGGCGCAACTGCACCCTGCGTGACGGGAGATGTCTCCCGGACCAAGTGGTGACCAAATGGTGGTTATCTTGAGATGATTTCGGGGCTTTTTAGTGTCCCCGCGGCCCGGTCCTCGACCAGGCCTCCACCCCAGGAAGCAGCCCGTGACAGCTGACTAACACCCAGGTACCTATTTTACTGCTAGGTAACAGGGGCATAGGGTGAAAGAAACTCTGCCCACTGTTTCTCGCCGGCGCCTGGGATCGAACCCAGGACCACAGGATCACAAGTCCAGCGTGCTGTCCGCTCGGCCGACCGGCTCCCCAAAGTTCGGCTCGGCCAAATCGGCTGGTAGAGGAATTTGTTACATATGAATGCGTTAGAGAGGGAGACAACGAACTGTGTAATTCGGAATCAAGTCGTTATCGGAAGGGATAGGCCTGTATACACAAGCCTATCCGGGTTCCCAAAGGCTTATAGGGATGGGCTTGGGATTAATTCGTCATCTAGCAACATTATCCTCTCCTTAATCTAATCGGCGAAGCTACATTTTATCTCCGAAATCCTATCCCAATACTATGTAGGTTGAATTAAATCTTCATTATCTAAATCATATAATTTCTTTAGCTTCTCAAGATTAGTCTCATGGGTTCATTTTTGTGCCTTCTCTAAATTATTTAGTTTAAATTTACCGGAATCCACACACACACACACACACACACACACACACACACATGCGGCCCCAGCATGGAGCCCGTACCTTGTCAAGCACAAGACGAAGCTGGAAAAAGTTCAGAGGTATGCCATTAGGCTAGTCCCAGAACTAAGAGGCATGAGTTACGAGGAAAGGCTGCATGAACTGCACCTCATGTCGCTGGAAGACAGAAAAGCTCGGGGAGACATGATCACCACATACAAAATTCTCAGGGGAACTGACAGGGTAGACAAGAATGAATTATTAAACACGGGTGGCACACGCACAAGGGAACACAGGTGGAAGCTGAGTACCCAAATGAGCCACAGAGACGTTAGAAAGAACTTCTTCAGTATCAGAATAGTTAGTAAATGGAATACATTAGGTAGTGATGTGGTGGTAGGGTTAGCGGCCCTCAGGTAAAAAAAAAATTAATAAAAAACCTTATGGATAGGCAAGATTAGATCAAGATAAGATTAGAAGGCAAAACACAACACTTGTACATTACTGATTAATAAAGATTAACACCCCCAAAAGAAGGGGGGCGGCACGGGCATGAATAACCCGTACACATTCTAAATCCCATAACTTCAAAACCTTACATACACACCCCCTTCGCCGCCATCTTGTCGTCCCAAACAATAAACAAATCCTATCCAATTGTTTTCCCCTCTAACCAAATTTGAGTCTCAAAAGTCGCTCTATAGTCGGCAAAACTTTCACAATAATACAAAAACAAGTAGATTATCATAAGGAGAAACTTCAGAATGTCAACCACGACGAGGAATTGACACAAAAAAAACAACACCCACATTAATGCAACATCTGGCGTTTGTGTATATTATACACCATTATATGTACACAAATATACACCCGTCCTCCCACTCACTCAATGGAAATACGAAATGTATAATTTATTACAAATACATTAGAAACAAAAGCTACATTGAGTCCAATTCTAGGGTAAAAAAAAAGGATTGTATAAATGGCAACATTTGCACCGTAAAACGAAAAAGTCTGAAAAAAACCTGGAGTGATAAAAAGCGTAGCGCGATGCGTAGCCGGTGGCGCCAGGTGTGTGTGAGCCATATGTGTTCCACACACCTGAGCCCCCAGGTGTGTGTGAGCCATATGTGTTCCACACATCTGAGCCCCCAGGTGTGTGTGAGCCATATGTGTTCCACACATCTGAGCCCCAGGTGTGTGTGAGCCATATGTGTTTCACACATCTGAGCCCCCAGGTGTGTGTGTGAGCCATATGTGTTCCACACATCTGAGCCCCCAGGTGTGTGTGAGCCATATGTGTTCCACACATCTGAGCCCCCAGGTGTGTGTATGAGCCATATGTGTTCCACACATCTGAGCCCCCAGGTGTGTGTGTGAGCCATATGTGTTCCACACATCTGAGCTCCCAGGTGTGTGTGTGAGCCATATGTGTTCCACACATCTGAGCCCCCAGGTGTGTGTGTGAGCCATATGTGTTCTACACATCTGAGCCCCCAGGTGTGTGTGTGAGCCATATGTGTTCCACACACCTGAGCCCCCAGGTGTGTGTGTGTGAGCCATATGTGTTCTACGCACTCCCCTGCTGCAGCAGACAAGGCAGCAGCAGCAGCACTCAGAAGCGCCAACTCAGAGAGTGATGAGAACCTGAGCGATAAAGCTATATATAACAACCCCCCCCCCCACACACACACACACACACACACACACACACACACACACACACACACACACACACACACACACACACACACACACACACACACACACACACACACACTACACACAAGGCTCTCACAACAGTCAATCATAACAACACCATTCCAGCAACATTGGGGTTGTAAAGTACCTATATACCTATAGTTCAAGGGGGGAAGGGAGTACAGCACTACAAAGTTATTTATAACTAATCCGTAATGCCAGATACGAGGCTTCTCCACCCGCCATTAATATACGCATTTTGTTTTAAATTATTATTTAACTTCCACATTTTATATACACCTGGCTCTTGATATTATAATTACAATGTGTATATGTGTACATACATGTGTATTAGTACCTTTGGTGGAGTAAACAAAACATTTGAAAATGTGGAGATGTGGCGGGAGATTTTCTTGCTGTGCTTTCTGGCCTGACAGCCTGGTCCCGTCTCTTGTACTGGTACCTGGTACTGCTCCCTGGTACCTGGTACTGCTCCCTGGTACCTGGTACTGCTCCCTGGTACCTGGTACTGCTGCCTGGTACCTGGTACTGCTCCCTGGTACCTGGTACTGCTCCCTGGTACCTGGTACTGCTCCCTGGTACCTGGTACTGCTGCCTGGTACCTGGTACTGCTCCCTGGTACCTGGTACTGCTCCCTGGTACCTGGTACTGCTCCCTGGTACTGCTCCCTGGTACCTGGTACTGCTCCCTGGTACCTGGTACTGGTACCTGGTACTGCTCCCTGGTACCTGGTACTGCTCCCTGGTACCTGGTACTGCTCCCTGGTACCTGGTACTGCTCCCTGGTACCTGGTACTGCTCCCTGGTACTGCTCCCTGGTACCTGGTACTGCTCCCTGGTACCTGGTACTGCTCCCTGGTACCTGGTACTGCTCCCTGGTACCTGGTACTGCTCCCTGGTACCTGGTACTGCTCCCTGGTACCTGGTACTGCTCCCTGGTACCTGGTACTGCTCCCTGGTACCTGGCACTGCTCCCTGGTACCTGGTACTGCTCCCTGGTACCTGGTACTGCTCCCTGGTACCTGGTACTGCTCCCTGGTACCTGGTACTGCTCCCTGGTACCTGGTACTGCTCCCTGGTACCTGGTGCTGCTCCCTGGTACCTGGTACTGCTCCCTGGTACCTGGTGCTGCTCCCTGGTACCTGGTACTGCTCCCTGGTACCTGGTACTGCTCCCTGGTACCTGGTACTGCTCCCTGGTACCTGATACTGCTCCCTGGTACCTGGTACTGCTCCCTGGTACCTGGTACTGCTCCCTGGTACCTGATACTGCTCCCTGGTACCTGGTACTGCTCCCTGGTACCTGGTACTGCTGCCTGGTACAACACACACCTCTCCTGTACAACACCCTTGCCTCTCTCCACACACACACACACACACACACACACACACACACACACACATACACATCTCACCGACATACCTACACACACACACACACACACACACACACACACACACACACACACACACACACACATCTCACCGACATACCTACACAGTACACATTACACACACAGTACACAGTACACAGTAAGCTAGCATGTAGATTAAGAGTGTGGCGTAGTGTGGCGTAGTGTGGCGTAGTGTAGAGACTACAGGAGGAGGAAGAGGAGGAGGAGGCCGGGGTGAAGGGCCTGGCCAGGCAGCAGCAGCTGGTAATACCACTCTTGTTAAGTCCAACGTGTCGTTAAGGACCAATACTTGCGACTTGTAAACAATTAAAAATTGATATTTGTTGAATATCCTTAACTGGAGCATTTGTAGCTTGGTTTGATGAATCAACTTCTCGTCTGGTTACAATGAAACGGGAAATTTAATCATAGTTTCATCATTTTTGGATGCCTAGTGAGTCGTAGGTTGGTATGATTTTGTTAAGTAGCCGCATGTGAAGGAGGCAAATGAAGGCCCCTACAAGTATGCAAGTAGCACTCGCCTCTCTTCAATAATGGCCTCAATGTCCCGGGGGAATAAGGGTTAGGTTACCTGACCATAGATAATCTTGCGCCCTTTGCACTCGTGTATTTAAAATACGTGGGGCATTTCCTTAGCTTCTCGCCTCGTAAAGCCATAATGAACGCTAAGATAAAGTTCAAAATAGACTGTAGCTATAAGATATAAGCCTCTTAGCCTCCCTACGTTAGCGCGCCGTTCACCTACAACCAATGAAAATGCAGCATTTTCCCGCGAATATAAGTACAAAGCTGCGAAAGGAGTTCGAGGCGTCGCTTCCGCTGGCGGCTCAGCCAATGAGAGAGCGGGTGGTGAGTCGCAGGCCAGCACGGCGGGTTGTGATTGGCGGAGCGGGTGGGTCTGGCCGGGCGGGCGGGGAGGTGGCGTGTCCCGCGTGGCCTGGCTCACAGTAACGGTCGTAAAGCGTCACTTACTAAGACGGTGTCGCAGTGAGAGGGTCGCCGCGGCCGCGCTCTCCTCCCCCCGACACACACGCCGCAGCAGCAGCAGCGGTTTACCTCATCTCAGGAGTGCCAGCAGAGTGCCAGGATGCCCCGTGGTAGACCCAGAGGCACGGCCCCCGACAAGCCTCGCGGCCGCATGACCGCCTACGCCTTCTTCGTGCAGACGTGCCGCTCCGAGCACAAGAAACTCCACCCCGACGAGAGTGTCCAGTTCGCCGAGTTCTCCCGCCAGTGCTCGGAGCGCTGGAAGACCATGTCGGAGAAGGAGAAGAAGAAGTTCCACGACCTGGCCGACGAGGACAAGACCCGCTACAGCCTCGAGATGAAGGACTTCGTGCCGACGGGCGGGACGGGGGGCCGACGCGGGCGTCGCGGGCGGGGCACCAAGCCGCCCAAGGACCCCAACAAGCCCAAGCGGGCGCTCTCCGCCTTCTTCTACTACGCCAACGACGAGCGGGCCAACGTGCGGGCGGCCAACCCGGACTTCTCCGTGGGCGAGGTGGCCAAGGAGCTGGGCCGCCAGTGGACGGAGCTGACGGAGACGGAGAAGCACAAGTACGAGAAGCTGGCGGAGGCTGACCGGGCCCGCTACGGCCGGGAGATGTCCGTGTACAAGGCCGGCGGCGGCGCCGCCCCCGACCAGGCGCCCTTCAAGAAGTTCAAAGCCGCTAATGGCCACGCCGTAGACGCCCACCACAACGACGACGACGACGACGACGACGTAGGATCTGAGGAGGACGACGAGGACGATGACTCGGACGACTAGTGCCAGTGACGGGTGTTTGGTGGTGAGAGCGTTAACAACTTGAGACTTGAAATGTGATGTACAAACTTATTTTTATACTGCCTGAGCCTGTGTGTACATTGTAGTGTCTAAGGTGTTATTTATGACCATATACGGGGCAGGAACTCCTCAAGGATTGATTTTACGACACGCAACACGACTATGTGTTCTCTCAACACCTCAATTTCACGTATTTAGTTTTTATATTTTCTACAAATAAAAAGAAAATGAAGGAAAGTGGCGTTTGAGTGACCTTGTGGCGACGGTGACGAAGGTGAGCCTCTTCACAGTACTGTAGCTTCACGGTGACATTATCAATAAGAATTATAACACTAAATTATCAGTATCAAATTACTCGTTAACACATTTGTTGCACAATTGCAACTTTATTATATAATTGGTTGGTGATCTCTGGCTATATTTCAACGCTTTATAACCCCGTAATCTGGGAGTAATAATTATCATTGCTGCTAAAATAAAAACTTTTTTTATAAAGACATATAAAAATAATATACGATATACGTGTATAAAATATATAGTACTTATGCCGGAACCTCCAAGGTTCTTTTCTACTTTATATATATATATATATATATATATATATATATATATATATATATATATATATATATATATATATATATATATATATATATATACTGTATATATTATAGTCTACTTGGGACGTATTGTACTATGCCACGAGTACTGTGCGCTGGAGATGATTTAATAATGGTGATAGTGAGAAAGTAACGGTGACTGGCAGGTGGTGTGGTGACCTGAATGTTGGGGGGAGGGGGTACTGTGGCAGGTGGTGTGGTGACCTGAATGTTGGGGGGGGGGGGGGTACTGTGGCAGGTGGTGTGGTGACCTGAATGTTTGGGGGGGGGGTACTGTGGCAGGTGGTGTGGTGACCTGAATGTTGGGGGGGGGGGGTGACCTGAATGTTGGGGGGGGGTACTGTGGCAGGTGGTGTGATGACCTGAATGTTCGGGGGGGAGGGGGGGGTACTGTGGCAGGTGGTGTGATGACCTGAATGTTCGGGGGGGAGGGGGTACTGTGGCAGGTGGTATGGTGACCTGAATGTTCGGGGGGGGGGTACTGTGGCAGGTGGTGTGATGACCTGAATGTTGGGGGGGGGGTACTGTGGCAGGTGGTGTGGTGACCTGAATGTTGGGGGGGGGGTACTGTGGCAGGTGGTGTGATGACCTGAATGTTGGGGGGGGGGTACTGTGGCAGGTGGTGTGGTGACCTGAATGTTGGGGGGGGGGTACTGTGGCAGGTGGTGTGGTGACCTGAATGTTGGGGGGGGGGGTACTGTGGCAGGTGGTGTGGTGACCTGAATGTTGGGGGGGGGGGGGGGTACTGTGGCAGGTGGTGTGGTGACCTGAATGTTGGGGGGGGGGGGTACTGTGGCAGGTGGTGTGGTGACCTGAATGTTGGGGGGGGGTACTGTGGCAGGTGGTGTGGTGACCTGAATGTTGGGGGGGGGTACTGTGGCAGGTGGTGTGATGACCTGAATGTTGGGGGGGGGGGGTACTGTGGCAGGTGGTGTGATGACCTGAATGTTGGGGGGGGGGTACTGTGGCAGGTGGTGTGGTGACCTGAATGTTGGGGGGGGTACTGTGGCAGGTGGTGTGGTGACCTGAATGTTGGGGGGGGGTACTGTGGCAGGTGGTGTGGTGACCTGAATGTTGGGGGGGGTACTGTGGCAGGTGGTGTGGTGACCTGAATGTTGGGGGGGGGGTACTGTGGCAGGTGGTGTGGTGACCTGAATGTTGGGGGGGGGGGGGGTACTGTGGCAGGTGGTGTGGTGACCTGAATGTTGGGGGGGGGGGTACTGTGGCAGGTGGTGTGGTGACCTGAATGTTGGGGGGGGGGGGTACTGTGGCAGGTGGTGTGATGACCTGAATGTTGGGGGGGGTACTGTGGCAGGTGGTGTGATGACCTGAATGTTGGGGGGGGGGGGGGGTACTGTGGCAGGTGGTGTGGTGACCTGAATGTTGGGGGGGGGGTACTGTGGCAGTTGGTGTGATGACCTGAATGTTGGGGGGGGGGGGGGTTGATGACCTACTGTGGCAGGTGGTGTGATGACCTGAATGTTGGGGGGGGGGTACTGTGGCAGGTGGTGTGGTGACCTGAATGTTGGGGGGGGGGGTACTGTGGCAGGTGGTGTGGTGACCTGAATGTTGGGGGGGGTACTGTGGCAGTTGGTGTGATGACCTGAATGTTGGGGGGGGGGTACTGTGGCAGGTGGTGTGATGACCTGAATGTTGGGGGGGGTACTGTGGCAGGTGGTGTGGTGACCTGAATGTTGGGGGGGGTACTGTGGCAGGTGGTGTGGTGACCTGAATGTTGGGGGGGGGGGTACTGTGGCAGGTGGTGTGGTGACCTGAATGTTGGGGGGGGGTACTGTGGCAGGTGGTGTGGTGACCTGAATGTTGGGGGGGGGGTACTGTGGCAGGTGGTGTGATGACCTGAATGTTGGGGGGGGGTACTGTGGCAGGTGGTGTGATGACCTGAATGTTGGGGGGGGGGGGTACTGTGGCAGGTGGTGTGGTGACCTGAATGTTGGGGGGGGGTACTGTGGCAGGTGGTGTGGTGACCTGAATGTTGGGGGGGGGGGGGTACTGTGGCAGGTGGTGTGGTGACCTGAATGTTGGGGGGGGGGGGTACTGTGGCAGGTGGTGTGATGACCTGAATGTTGGGGGGGGGGGGGTACTGTGGCAGGTGGTGTGGTGACCTGAATGTTGGGGGGGGGGTACTGTGGCAGGTGGTGTGGTGACCTGAATGTTGGGGGGGGGGTACTGTGGCAGGTGGTGTGGTGACCTGAATGTTGGGGGGGGGGGTACTGTGGCAGGTGGTGTGGTGACCTGAATGTTGGGGGGGGGTACTGTGGCAGGTGGTGTGGTGACCTGAATGTTGGGGGGGGGGGGTACTGTGGCAGGTGGTGTGATGACCTGAATGTTGGGGGGGGGGTTACTGTGGCAGGTGGTGTGGTGACCTGAATGTTGGGGGGGGGGTACTGTGGCAGGTGGTGTGGTGACCTGAATGTTGGGGGGGGTACTGTGGCAGGTGGTGTGATGACCTGAATGTTGGGGGGGGGGGGTACTGTGGCAGGTGGTGTGGTGACCTGAATGTTGGGGGGGTACTGTGGCAGGTGGTGTGGTAACCTGAATGTTGGGGGGGAGGGGGTACTGTGGCCGGGGGTGTGGTGACCTGAATGTTGGGGGGGGGGGGGGTACTGTGGCAGGTGGTGTGGTGACCTGAATGTTGGGGGGGGTACTGTGGCAGGTGGTGTGGTGACCTGAATGTTGGGGGGGGGGGGGTACTGTGGCAGGTGGTGTGGTGACCTGAATGTTGGGGGGGGGTACTGTGGCAGGTGGTGTGGTGACCTGAATGTTGGGGGGGGGGTACTGTGGCAGGTGGTGTGGTGACCTGAATGTTGGGGGGGGGGGAGTACTGTGCCCCATCTGGCAGCCGTGCCAGCTGTCTCCCCTCTAACATTCTTGGTACATTCTTAGTGGCGTCCTCAGCCCTCTTGCCGGCTAGTGGTGTTGACGCCTGTCTCGCGGGGCTGGTGGTGTTGACGCCTGTCTCGCGGGGCTGGTGGTGTTGACGCCTGTCTCGCGGGGCTGGCGGTGTTGACGCCTGTCTCGCGGGGCTGGAGGTGTTGATGCCTGTCTCGCGGGGCTGGTGTTGATGCCTGTCTCGCGGGGCTGGTGGTGTTGATGCCTGTCTCGCGGGGCTGGTGGTGTTGATGCCTGTCTCGCGGGGCTGGTGGTGTTGATGCCTGTCTCGCGGGGCTGGTGGTGTTGATGCCTGTCTCGCGGGGCTGGTGGTGTTGATGCCTGTCTCGCGGGGCTGGTGGTGTTGATGCCTGTCTTGCGGGGCTGGTGGTGTTGATGCCTGTCTCGCGAGGCTGCTGGTGTTGATGCCTGTCTCGCGGGGCTGGTGGTGTTGATGCCTGCCTCGCGGGGCTGGTGGTGTTGATGCCTGTCTCGCGGGGCTGGTGGTGTTGATGCCTGTCTCGCTGGGCTGGTGGTGTTGATGCCTGTCTTGCGGGGCTGGTGGTGTTGATGCCTGTCTCGCGAGGCTGCTGGTGTTGATGCCTGTCTCGCGGGGCTGGTGTTGATGCCTGTCTCGCGGGGCTGGTGGTGTTGATGCCTGCCTCGCGGGGCTGGTGGTGTTGATGCCTGCCTCGCGGGGCTGGTGTTGATGCCTGTCTCGCGGGGCTGGTGGTGTTGACGCCTGTCTCGCGGGGCTGGTGTTGATGCCTGTCTCGCGGGGCTGGTGGTGTTGATGCCTGTCTCGCGGGGCTGGTGGTGTTGATGCCTGCCTCGCGGGGCTGGTGGTGTTGATGCCTGCCTCGCGGGGCTGGTGTTGACGCCTGTCTCGCGGGGCTGGTGGTGTTGACGCCTGTCTCGCGGGGCTGGTGGTGTTGACGCCTGTCTCGCGGGGCTGGTGGTGTTGATGCCTGCCTCGTGGGGCTGGTGGTGTTGATGCCTGCCTCGCGGGGCTGGTGTTGATGCCTGTCTCGCGGGGCTGGTGGTGTTGACGCCTGTCTCGCGGGGCTGGTGGTGTTGACGCCTGTCTCGCGGGGCTGGTGGTGTTGACGCCTGTCTCGCGGGGCTGGTGGTGTTGTCTGTCTCGCGGGGCTGGTGGTGTTGATGTCTGTCTCGCGGGGCTGGTTGTGTTGATGTCTGTCTCGCGGGGCTGGTTGTGTTGATGTCTGTCTCGCGGGGCTGGTGGTGTTGATGTCTGTCTCGCGGGGCTGGTGTTGATGCCTGTCTCGCGGGGCTGGTGGTGTTGATGCCTGTCTCGCGGGGCTGGTGTTGATGCCTGCCTCGCGGGGCTGGTGTTGATGCCTGTCTCGCGGGGCTGGTGGTGTTGACGCCTGTCTCGCGGGGCTGGTGGTGTTGACGCCTGTCTCGCTGGGCTGGTGGTGTTGACGCCTGTCTCGCGGGGCTGGTGGTGTTGACGCCTGTCTCGCGGGGCTGGTGGTGTTGACGCCTGTCTCGCGGGGCTGGTGGTGTTGACGCCTGTCTCGCGGGGCTGGTGGTGTTGATGTCTGTCTCGCGGGGCTGGTGGTGTTGATGTCTGTCTCGCGGGGCTGGTGGTGTTGATGTCTGTCTCGCGGGGCTGGTGGTGTTGATGTCTGTCTCGCGGGGCTGGTGTTGATGCCTGTCTCGCGGGGCTGGTGGTGTTGATGCCTGTCTCGCGAGGCTGGTGTTGAT